CATGATTACACAGTTTGTAAGTTACAAAGCTAGGATTTGAACCTAGGTCCTGACTTCAACTCCAGAATACTTCCTACTGTATCAAAATGCAACACAAAGGTACTTACTCTGTTTAATCACTATAAAATGAAAAGAGGAAAAAAAGGAGGGTCTTCAAAAAATAACTTACCGTGATAGTTATTTGTCCTATCTGGTAGAGCCTGGGATCCTAGAATTTACATCTGGGAAGGAACTCAGAGATCCTAAAATCATAGGATCATAGATCTGGAGCTGGAAAGGTTCCAGATAATCTAGTCCAACTCCTTAGTTTTATAGATGAGGAAACCAAGGCCCAATAAACTTAAAAGACCTTAGTTCAAATCCCCACTCCGATACTTATTAACTGTATGATCATTGGAAAGTCACTTCATTTTTTTGAAGCCTCAATTTCCTTAGAGGTAAAATGACGTAGAAATGTACCAACCTCATTGGATTGCTACGAAACTCAAATGAGATAATGTATGTAAACTGCTTTGCAAGTCTTGAAGTGCTATATAAATGTCGCTATTATTATTTCTTACAGAATTATAGCAGATCAGGGGAAATTGTTCTGGAAAAGAGTTTTATTTTTAGAGTGAAAAAAAAAGAACTGAATCCTATGCCATAAAATAGTATTGAAAGTCTCCCAGTGATATCCCAGGAGAGGAAAAATGTGTTTAAAATGGCACAGAGGAAGCTGAGATCTGAGAAGGCATGTGTTTTTTATCTATCCAGCTTCTAATCTGTACATGACCCAAAGGAATATTCCTTCAGTTTTTGCATGGAGTTGAAATACCCTTCTCATTTACCCAGGTCTTTCTTTTTTTAATTTTTCAAGCACAAAGGAAAAAAAAAAGGTCTTCCTGTAATTGAGCTCTAGTGAAGTGATTGGTACTCTATTTAAATAGAATATGAATCATGTCCTGTGTGGACATTACATTTTTTAAGAAATGTACTGAAGTGAGTAAAAAGAATGTATTAAGCTCAAACCTGGATATACCAAAGCTAAGCTGATCTGCAGATTTTTCAGAAATTCAGATTTCGTAGGGAAGATAATGGCCAGAGAGAGAAAAGGGAAACTAAAGGGGCAATGGGGCATGACAGATTAGGAGTCAGGAGGCCTAGGTTCAAGTGCTGACTCCGATGCTCATTCACTTTGTGACATTGGACAAAATCACAGCTCTCTGGACCTCAATTTCCATATCTGCAAAGTGAGGATTTTGGACCAAATTTCTAAGAGCCTTTATAGTTTTAAAATTAGTCTGTACTTTCATTTTGCCGGTAAAGAAACTGAGGTCCAGGAAGGTGAAGAGGTGCAATGATTTGCCCAAAGTCCCACAAAGAAAATACTAAGTAGCAGAATTCAAATTTGAACCCAGGTCTTCAGACAACAGATCAAGTACATTTTCGACTTCACCACATTGTTTCATATATAATTGGAACAGGCTTTAAAGAGCATCTAGTACAAACCCTTTATTCTAAGAAGGGGAAACTGAGGCTGAGTGAAGGGAGTTTATCAAGGTCACACAGCTAATTAGTACAGTTTTGCATGTTTTGACATTTTTGTTCTATATAATCGCATAGAGCTGAAGGGAAAAACAACAGTTGAGTTCTGGTCTTGAGGAACTCATTGAGTGAGGAACTTAATAGTATGTATATGAATCTTTTTGAAATGTGCATTTCATCAAACACTTTTTAAAAAAGCTGTTAATGGAACACCAGCTTGACTTAGTTTCTAAATCAGTCACCAGTAATGTAGACATGGCACTATTTAAAGGGTGACTTCATACCTAAGACTCAGCCCGACAATTTATGCTGCCCTTTGCCTTGGTTCTTCCTCCCTGTTAAAAATGGTAATATTTCTTCTCAACCTCCATCTACTGTGAAGAACTCTGAGGGCATCTGAGTCAGATGCCATCCGAACTCTGAGATGATGATTAAGTCATGAACTCCTTGGAAGACATACTTAACAAGAACACATGGTTGCTGTCACATAGCAATGCTGGCACTAATTGAACACACTGGGATTTCATTAGGGCATAGTTGAATGCTATTGTCATGACCTTGCTAAACAACCTTGGGCTGGTCACTTGTCCTTTTGGAGTCTCAGTTTCCTTGTCTGTTAAATGAGGGGATTGGACTAGTGAATTTTTAAGATTCCTTCTATCTTCAGATCCTGGGATTACTAACATCAAATAAGGCATCAAATGGTGATATCTGCTTGCCAAAATTATTTGCCACTGTCATGGAGGATGTCCTATGCAGAGATCAAATGGATGACAGTTTCTTCAGAAATAATAAGGTCATTCAGTTGTTCCTGTTTATAAATATCTTGGGGTATCAATGCATGAATGGGAAAATATTCATCAAGCATTTACTATGTGCCATATAGTGGGCTAAATGTTAGTGATACAGACAAAAAAGCAGACAGTTCCTGTCCTCAAGTGGCCTACAATTTAATGGAGGAGATAACAGGGAGGAGTATTTTAACTTGGAAAGTTACAGGGATTGTGAATGGGTCCAGAAGCTGACATACCTCACCAAAGAGCAATGACAGAATTGATATGATCATTGTTCCTTGCCTCCAGACTTGGAGGGTCAGGGAGAAGAAGAAAGGAAACCTGTGATCCTTCTTGTGCACTGGTGACAAGATTGTGCAAAACGTGGCTGGAGAGGAAAGGGTGATCCAGACCCATGATATCAAAAGGCTTTCTCAATTTAGGTTTCAATATTAAGGTTAATAATATGTTTTTTTTTCTTTTCTTATTGTGTATTTAAATTTTAGTATTTAAGTCTGAAATTTAAAAAAAGAAAAGTCAGAACTAAAATAAAATTAAATATATGAGGGAAAAAATGGTTTCCTCAGTGAAATCTATAAACACTCCAAAGAGTGACCTATCAATCTACATAGGAAAAAAGAAAGATGAAGAATGTTTATTGCCTAACCAGAGGTCAGGAAACTATGGCACCTGGACCAAACTGGGCTAAGAATAGTTAGCTTGAGAGCTGTACAAAAACAGGTGGTAGACCAGATATGGCCCATGGCTGTAGTTTACTGACTCCTGACCTAATATAACCATTGATTTAGAACATTAGAACATATATATCTTGGAAGGGCATTGCAAATAGACATGAGCTGCAGTCATAATTGAACAGAAAGAAGAGAATGAGAAGACTGCCTTTGATCACACATCCAATGATCCCCAACTACTCTGTGACACACAAAAAGTCTCATCTTTTTAACACCAATATTTAGGAGATGCTTATGCTTGCAAACCATAGAATAACATAATTTCAATGAATCAAAACTGAGAGTGATTCAAAGGGCAATGAAGACACCCATGCTGGACATAAGAAGGCTGTAGGATATTCACCAGAGTGGTCTAGAACCAAGAGTGTCCTGAGGCTTAAATAAGATAATGAATGTAAAGTAAATGTAAAGTACTTTTCAAACCTTAAGGCATTATATAAAATGCCAGTTATTATTATTAATATTATTATAATTGTGATCAGCTTATAACCACCAGGCTTCTGGTCTGGTGATGATTTCATTCCCTGAACTTTCTACTATACTGTTCTTGAGTCTCAAGCCATGATTATAGAATAATAAAAGGGTGTGCTTTTAAATGTTTAACAGACTCTGAAAATATATGTGTGTGAAATATGTATATATGCACACATATATACATATACACACATACATGTATGTATACACATTATATATATATATGCTCACATTTTTAAGTTTACTCTATTATTAATACTTTCTTAAGTATAGACAATCACAGAGCAATAAATCAAGTCATGATTTATTAAGATTACCAATTTCTGAAATGCAAATTCTCACACTGACAATTTAATAATTGAGTTGCAAAAGCAGTTTAGAAATGGCTAGAACCCAGATTTCCTGACTAACATTCCAGTATTCTGTCTAATTATTTAATTAAAAATCATGGATGCTCTATAGGAAAACTTCAATGTCTCTTAGTAAGCCTCCGTTATGGTTTAAGACAGACAATTCAAGTCAGAGGTACCAAAATTAAGATGGACTTGATGTGAAGAAGGATCACAGGTTTATAGATCAAAAACTGGAAATGATCTCAGGCCCTCTAGTTCAACAGCTCCATTTAACAGTTGAAGAAACTGAGGGCCAGAGAGATTAAGTGACTGTCTAAGATCGCACAGGTAGTCAGTGTCAGAGGTGGGATCTGAACTTAGCTCCTCAGGCTTGTCATCTAGTGCTCTTTCCTCCATACCCCATTGCCTCCATCTGATCCATGATAAGATGAAAAATAGATAAAACAGGCTATGACTCTGATTTGCAGATGCAGGTCCTGAGAAGAATCCATTAAGGAGTCCTTTGCCCTGTTCTGCAGTAATGAGGTTCCCTTTGTGGGAGAAGGTTCTTCTTGGGAGAGATGGTGCCACAGGTACTGATAAGATGGAGGACCCAGCCTGAATCCTCACCTGCTTCCTCTTTCTGAAGCCACTTGCCCATGAACTTTGTCCTGCAGGCAGAGTCAAACATCTTTCTGACAAGTTAGGTTTGCCTACTACTCTTTCTTAAGCTACAGGGTCCATCCCAGCTTCTTGTAGTATATTTGTTTTTCTCCTGACTCATCTACCATCTTTTGGAAGCAGAGAGTAATTATGCATAAATAACATTGTGATGGATAAACCTAGGGCAAAGGGGGCTGGAGGGGCCTAGACCTACAGCCTGGATTCTCCCTGTTCTATGGATTGAACTATTTGTGAGGATCAAAAATAATGCCACCTCATTTTTCAAGTCTGCAAAATACAGAGGGATTCCATGGCTTATTTTATTTTTATACATATCACTGCAGAGGAAGGCATCAAGAAACTGAAGGAGAACCTTCCTCTTCTGATTCAAATGTATTCTGAGGATTCAGGGGCAACCTTACCAAGACAATAAAGCTTTTTCAAAGCAAGGCACTGTAATTTTCTATTTCTTTTTTCCTTACCATGGACATGGATGCCATTTGGTTGAAAGGAAGAACTCGTTACTGGCTGGTATGACTTCAAGTGTGATCCTGCTGACTGCTGAACATGGGAAGGTGGTGGTCTCTGCATGACCAAAGGAGGGGCTGGCATTCTCTGGGGGCTGATATGGTGGGGAGATGGAGCAGAAGGGGCAAACCTAAGGAAACAATCAGAAAAAATAGGAAGCAATATAAGATGGCTGGAGCAAAGGTTAAATTAAGAAAACAAAAAAAAAAAAAGCTTTTGAGGCAAAATGTTAGTTAGCTGATCACAGATCGTGGCTTAGCAAAGAGAATGACAATACACTCTTAAATAACAAACCTGTATTACTTGCTTCTCATCCATTCATTCCCTCCCTTGAGCTTCTCATTTCACTCACATCTTAACTATGATTATTAAACAAACCAGTAAAGGAGAGAAAAAAACAAACAAACAAACAAACCCCACAGTTACATGTGGGTTTGTTAAGTCTTTCAAACTTGATTTCAAACATTTGGAGGTTGGCGAAGCTCAGAACACATTTTGCCAGGACCCCTTTTTCTGCTAATTTTTAAATCCATTTGTATTTTAAGGGAAATTTAATCCATATGTTTCTAATTCATTTACACTTAGCTCATCAAAATTTTGTTTTGTAAGACACATGTGATGTCCAAGAAGTGTTACAGGGGTTTGGTATGACGGTCTAATCCTTTTCAAACAATGCATTTCCCTTTGCCAAGAGTAAATTGACTTAAATCTCAAAAGGGTCAAGTATGGTTTGAAATGCAGAGCCCCAGAGGCTGAAGTGGGTTCTGTGCTTGGCACAAAGCACTCCCTTGGCTCAAACAGAAACAGAATGGGAAACCATCTTTTGCAACTATTTATGCCAATCATGTTCATTCTGTAGGGTAGTTTTTAGAGGGAAGGGAAGGCAGGAATGTTTGTAATAACACATTACCTAGCACTTTAGGGTTTAAAATGTGTTTTCTTTTTTAACAGCCCTGTGAGGTAGATAGTGTGAATATTGTTTTTGTATATGATATTTTATTTTTCCCCAATTACATGTTTAAACAATTTTTGACATTTTTGTGTTTCAAATTCTATCCTTCCCATCTTCCCTCCCCTCCTCCCTCCCTGAGATAGTAAGCAATCAGATATAGATTACACATGTGCAATCATATAAAACATTTCCATATTAGTCATTTTGTACAAGAAGATTCAAATAAAAAAAATAAAGTAAGAAAGTGAAAAACAGCATGCTTCAGTCTGTATTCAGACAATATCAGTTCTTTCTCTGGAGGTGGATAGCATGCTACCTCATGAGTCCTTTGTGATTGTTTTGTATCATTGTATTGATAAGAACAGCTAATTCATCCATAATTCTTCATCATACAATATTATTGTTACTGTGCACAACATTTTCCTGGTTCTGCTCACTTCACTTTGCATCAGTTCATATTCGTGAATAGGAGGATAGAGGAAGGGAACAGGTACAGGCTGGTTGTCACCAGCGCTCTGGCAAAAACATTGATAGCCTGGAAAGTACCTTAGATAGGTTCTGCTCCCTTTTAAGCCTTTCCAGGGGATACTTCCAATCAATCTAAAGACATAAAGAGACTTAAATTTGGGTATCAAACTGAGGAAAGGAATCAATACTGTTTGGTAGTCTGGACTTGGCTTCCCTCCCCATACTCCCCCTCACCCTGGCCACATACACACTTTCTTTTCTTGAACAACAATGAAATTCAACACTTACTAAGCAACTACTATGTAGAAGGCAATGTGTTGGTGTCTTTATCATGAAGATTAAAAAAAAAAAGCACAGTCATCCTTAGACTTACAATCTACTGAGTGGGGAACATGGAGGGATACAACAGTTGTAAAAATAAGTCTAAATCAAAGAAGAACGGGAGAAAGGAACCAGAGCAAACCAGCATGGTACTCTAGGAAACTGAGGAGCCAGAGAATTCTAGGACCAGGGGAAGGTGGGGCAGTGTCTGGTGCATAATAGGTATTTAAAGAAATACTAGTTGACTGACTTGGGGAAATAGAACCTGAGCTGAATCATGAAGGAAGAGGATTTAAACACTGGGTCAGGAGGAGAAAGGAGTACTTTACAGATATGGGGGAGGGAGGAATGTGCAGCTTTCACAGTGAATGCAAAGAGGCTGAAGGTGGCAAGATGAAACTGAAGAACAGCTAACAATCTAGTTTGTCTGGAATGTAGAGTCCATGAAAGGGAATACTGTGGAATAAAGCTTGGAAGGTAGACTGGAGTCATATTGTGAAGGGTCTTAAATGCTAGGCTGAGGAATTTGATTCAATTCTATAGGTATTAGGAAGCTACTGAAGACTTTTGAGAGGGGAGTCACATGTGCCTTAGGAAGATTGTTTGAGTAGCTGTGAGAAACACAAACAAGATAGAGAAGAGATTAGAGGTAGGGAGTCCAACTCAGATACTATTATAATAGTCTAATAATTCTAAAAGCTGAAAAATTTACCTAATTCCTAAAATCTGGGGCTGACTCCTAGATCAAAATCAATTATGATAAGTCCTAATAAATAGACAGTAGTCATAAGTTCATCAGAAGTACAACTTAATGAATGACCAACTTTTCAACTAGTTGTTCTTCCATCCTTCAGACTCAGGCTGTGGAAGTAGTACTCCTAGATCACTTACCTGATTATATCATTAACTTCCTTGTAACAAGTCAATTTACCTCTCTCTGTCTTTTAAAATTCACATATAAGAAAGAATGATTCTCTAAACTGAAATCCCTTTTCTTTCCTATTCTATCCTGGCCTGCCCTCTTCCCTTTCCCTTCCCTCCCTCTCCTCTCTTCTCTTCTTCTCTTTCCTCTGCTTTCCTGTCCTCTTCTCCCCTCCATCCTCCCTATTGGAACAGTTTAGGTGAGACAGTATGTAAAACTATTCTGACCTTTTTATTGGGATTTAATATAGATGTGTCAAGAAACAACAAAGAGATAAAGAATAATATTGGACTAGAGGACTTGAAAGTTCCCTTACAGCTCTTAAGATATAAGATTTCAGTGGACAGAGGCAGTAGTTGTTAAAGTGAAGGAGTTGAATTAAGCCATCTGGTTTACTGATGGTTTTTATTGCTATTTCTTTTAAAGAAAACACTAATTAAATATCTCTTGCCAGGTAAATATTTTCTTTCAGAGCCTATTATCCTTTCAATAGATATTATCCTGAGAAGAAACATTGAAAGACTTAGGTAAACAAACACAGGACTTACACTGAGAACATCGTCTCCGTGGATCTTTCTAAGATCTCCCCCAAATCTTCCTCCAGTATCTCATCACAGCAAAGAGGTGAACTGTGGAGTTTGAAGGCTACAGACCACAAGTTCTAGTAGGCCCTACCATGCTAAAAAGCATTTGATTCAGACTAAGTTTGCTTGGAAAGAGAGAGAGAGAGAGAGAGAGAGAGAGAGAGAGAGAGAGAGAGAGAGAGCGAGCGAGAGAGAGAAATGGCCATCACTTTTAGGCAACTTCTTTTTGCTTCTACAATATTGGTGGTGACAGAAAAGAGAGCAGAGGTTAACATTAATTAAACATTAACTTAACTGTTGGAACATTACGTGTGGAGTATTTGTTCAATGATCAGTGAAATGACATACTATTTGAAGAAGTGACCCATATCAGTATCGACATTCTTACAATAAATGAAACAAAAGGAAGTTGTAGCTAAATGGATAGATGACTGACAGGTGTGCTCTAGAGAGGCAAAAAAAAGTTAGTGCAGTTAATTTCATTGTGTGTCCAGACGATGTGAAACATCATTTTATGAGAAGCTTGGTTGGTATTATCTTGCATTGTTCATAATGGACATAATAAGCAAAAGAAGGACCATGCAGATAAATGCAGCCTGGATACCAGCATCTGCTACAGAGAGGGATGAGGAAGAGAAATGCTACAAATAATTTGATAGGATTTCCCAACCAAATCAATGTATTTTTGATACACATATGTTTGTGACTTTAATGCTAAGGTTAGCATAGAAGAAGAGGGTGAAGAATAGGTTTTAAAATATGGTTTAGGGTTACGAAGGTTTGAAGTTTTGAAGCATATTCAGAAGTCTCATAACTATATGGAAGTGTAAGATTATATATTTAGAGTCGGAAGCACAACCTCCTCAAATTTCCTCAGAGGAAACTGAGGCTTAGAGAAGTTAGAAGACCTGCCCATCATCACATAGCTAATAAGTATTAGGCAGGATTTGAACTCAAGTATCCCTGATTCCAGATCCAGTAGTTTAAACACTATATGAATACTTTCTTCCCAAACAGATTTAGGATGTAGGCATGGCAAGCACAGATTAACATCATATAAAATGAAATTTATCTTGGCAGACATGAAACTACTGGTTACTGGCAAAAGGAATAATTTCAGAATCAGCTGTTTGTATGTAGTCAGATCGTCGAAAAGATAGAGAAAAAGTCAAAGATTAACATCAAATTAGAAGAAAGGCTGAGGATGAGAAGACATTTCATAGAACTGTAATAACTACAACCTGATCTATTAAAACTCTCAGTCCTGAAAAGTAGTAAGTGGCGAAAGTCCAAGATGGGGCCTTTCTTTATAAATGTTTTCTTCAAAAGATCTGACACATAAAACAGTTGCCACAGTGAGGGGCCCCAAAGAACCTCAAAATTATCTCAGCCAGTAAATACTCTATTTAGCCAAGAGTTATACCTAAAGGCAACATTGGCTTAAAAGAGAAACATATTTGTATTGCATGAAAGGATTCTGGAATCCAGAGTCATCCACAATGTCAGAGCCTAGGATCTATCTGTAATAGCCATCCAGTTTTGATACAGTTTACTTTTTGAATTCTCAATGATTTGGGGAAATTTGTATTTGTAGTCACAGGAATTTGTTGTCTGTGGATTTATGAAGGATAACAGTCTTCTGGCATGTCAATCTAGCTTCCTGACAATTTTTAAGGTATCTTGTAGATACTAAATTTTTGTGACCTTCAGTGATATGTTGCATAGTTTCTACCATTTAATAAATCTTGGATCCCTAAGAATGATTTTTTCTGTAATTTCCAGCAGTGTTAGCCCTAGTTCATCATTCTCCCTCACCTGACATATCCAAAGCCACATCTTGCCATTTCTTCTCTACTCATATAGCCAACACCTTAGTTCATACC